AGCATGTCAGAAATGTAATTAGCCTTTAGCCTCGTGAGCCTTCTGCTCAGCAAACCTGTGTGGATATCCCAGATACCAGACCAGATATTCAGTTAGACTAATGCAGGGTTGAACAATAAGAATCAAAAGTTACAACATCTGTTATATATTTTCTTCAGGTTTAGACACAATGGTGTGAATAAACATGGACTAAAATTAGTGAGACAGTAATCATGTTTTTTATATTGATCAAATAGGTAAAACACACCCCATACTTCAGTATCAAAATGCAACGTTTTGTAGGCTCACATATCCCCCACATCCTCGAGATGTATGCAAACTCTTGAACTGAGTTACAAGGTTGCCTTCCTTTCTGCACTTCCATTTATTCACAGTCTACAGCCTCTAAAAGGATTTGTTTTGACAAAATGTAATTATTCAGTAAAAAAAACAACTTAAAAAACAACTGGGAAAAAGGAATGTTTTAGCACAAGGCAAAAGGGCCAAGCAATCTTTTTCAAGTGCCAGCACATGCAGTGTCAAACTGTTTGCAGGGGTATTTAGATATAAAAGAAAAAACGTTAATCCTTTATAGGGCAAATGAACATATTTGATTGATAATGCATGCTTGAAAAATGGAACCTTGATGTGCCAGTACAGTAGAATAAATAGAATTGGATGGGGTCAGGTTCTGTTCCAATCAGGAATAATCCAGAATCAGTCATGTTTCTAAGGTTAGTGGTTATGTGTGTCATATTCTGTATTCTTTTTATTCATTTTTCATTTTGTTTGAGGTTGATATCAGCCATTAGTGAATACTAATTTGATCTTGATGTGCAGCGTAAACCTGAAACTTTTTTTCAAAAGAAAACCTTTTCCAGTAGCCCCAAAGATCACATGAGGGTTATATCCGTCCTTTAACGGATTAATTGGGATTTCTCTTTGCTTTTTTTTTAAAACTCTTCAAAAATTCTGCTGACTTCCCTCTCAGTTAGTCAAAATAGGGGTTTCTAATTTATTTAAATGAATTTCTTAATGAAAAAAGGTGAAAACGGAAGGCATAGTAACGTGAGGATGAGGTGAAAAGCACAGCTGCAATAGCTTGAATGGTAACACAGCTGAGAAAAAACAACTTTGAATTGGATAAACAAATACAGAAGTGTTGAAAGGTATATAATAGATGATGAGTCTGTTAATTAGCATGGGATATTACACTGACAAGCAAGGTTGAATCGACAGAAACACGATATTTTTCATGTCTACTGAAGAATGAAGAACACACAATACGATAAACATTTAAACTACAGCTTCCATTTATGATAAAGTATGACAAACCCTGGTGTTTTGTTGCCCGTTTGTGGAAAATAACCACCCTGAATTAGTCATGATGAATCAGACTGCTTAAAGGGCACATGCAAGTAAAACAACATATGTGAATGGCAGTTATCACAGTTAAATGCAAAAAATAAAGGTTTCACTTCATATCTAAATAGTCAGGGGCTTCTGATGTCTAAACTCTAATTCAATGTGAAAATTGTCAGGACGAGCTGAAGACAGGACTCAGATGCAGAGCTTGGCAGTTTCAAGGTCTTTATTAAAAACAAAAATTCACGCTCTCTTAGAGTGGAAGCACAAGGCGATGAAACATACAAAATAATAATCACTTTTACGAGGTATAACAAAAACGATGGACAGAGTACAAAATAATAATCACTCTTTCGAGGAAAGACAAAACTATGAACGTACAAAATAATAATCTCTCTTACGAGGAGTTCTTTGGGAATCGAGGCAAAGAATACTTTGAATATCAGGGCTCAGGTTCAATGAAAAAACAGAGGCACAATAAAAGACAAAGGGGACACAGATTATTTAAACACACAGAGGGAAGAGAACCCCAGGTGAATACAATTGGTGATTTGAGGACACAATCAGACAGGTGACACACAGGGAAGTTAAAGTAACCTGACACATGAGGAGATGTACTTTTCAAAATAAAACAGGAAATGGCCTGACAGAAAATATTGTTCTATCAGAACAATTTAGTCAAGTTTCTGGATAAAAGATACATCAATTAATTGTGCCACACTGCAAAGGTGCAATATTTTAATTTATGTATTGATAATGAATTTAAGTTATGAAATCAAAAGTTCTGTTGTCAGTTAGAAACGTTTCTCAACTTTGAACTTTTGAAAAATATGTACAATAGTTCAATTGAATAATTTTATTAATATTCATCTTATTGTGGACAGGAATGATTATTTTTATTGTTAATTACACCAGTGGTAGCACGAAACGAAGCTGAAGAATTTGACACAATTTCAGCAAAACTGTGTTAGAATTTGGCTATAATTACTCACTTTAGCATAGTATGCTATAACATGATCTATGTAAATTACTGATTGTCTTATTCCTTTTAGAAATATACTTTTGTACTTTTGTTCTACTCTGGTATATTCTCAGGTTTCCAACTAAAGAATCGGGTTAGCAACTGCTTCATATTTTTATATACATTTTAAAAGAAGCACACAGATCAGTAACACTACTAGCTTTCCATATATTAAATTTTCTATGCCCACTTAGTAAATTCAGTTTTTCAAGAATGCATTGATGTGTTATTTACATTAATCAGATGTGGGTAAAGTACCAGTCTCATATCTGATGGTTAAAAGTCTAAAAATAAACATTTCTGGAAACCGTCATATAGGCTGTGATTCCACCCAACGGGGGCTTAAGTTTTGAAGAGCTCCCTCCTCAGCTGAGTTGTATTGTAGGTGTCAATCAGTCACAAGGTCAACCCAACACTTTTCTGCCGGAAAGAAATCCACTTCAAACGGATGTGTCACCATTATTTCCAGAGGATTAGATTAAAGCAGCCTACAGAGACTCCCATACAATAAGGAAAGCTCTTGATTCACATTTATTCTCACCACTGCATGAATTACACGATATACAAGGTTGCCTAGAAAGCGGCAACTGTATATGGTGTACCCAAATACTTCAGATGACAAAAGAAGGCTGCTAGGAGCAAGGAAAAAAAGGCTTGCTTTGAAATCCACTTTAACACAGTACAAAGGCCTTGAGCTGTCTTGTTTGTTTGTTTTTCTCCCATGTTTCAGACCGGTGCTGTACTTTTCTATGTGCCTTATTCTAGTATAATTCAAAAAGTCTATCATCTTTACATTTCAGTGTTATTTCTGTCACCCGAAAAGGGTTAATTGGTTGACCTTTAGTCTAAGTTGTCCCAAAATCCATTAATTTTAAATCAATTTTAAAAAAATCATTGACAGTATATAACTAATGCATACATACAATACATTTAATCTTTTCTTTTTATCAAGAGACTTTGTCAGATGACAGGTTTTGAATAATCCAAAGTATACATATGATGAAATACTTACTAATTTCTCTGGCATATAAAGAATTTTCTTGTAAAAGCATGCAATTCATGCTTTTTGCACCGACTATTGAGTAAGAAAGAATAGATAAAAAAGCAATAAATTAATGGATTATTTCGTGAGAAACCCATCACGTGTGTATTTATGCACATGTCACTGTTAATCATCTGACTTTTCAGACAGCCGAGTTATCGCAGGTCTCACTGCTAATTCCCCAGCATTCTTATGACCCAGAAGACCTCTTGATGTGTGCAGCAATTAACTGCGAGTTGTCGTTTGAGAAAGCAGATGTGTTAAATGAGCCATACTGGCTGAAAAGCCATGTAATGATCTTTAAGTGACAAATAATAATAGCTTTATCTGTTAACACATAAATGCGGCTTGTCTTCCGTCATATCATGAGGTCAAGTTCTTTTATAGCCGTGACAGGCTTAGACAAGAAGCCCTTTGTGTCCTCTGAAAGGCTTTTCCATGTGCATGGCTTCAAATTGCTTCATTCGAAGGATAAGTGTCCTCAACCTCGATGGCTTGACCTCTTAAACTCCTGCAGGCGCTGGACACTATTTGAGGCTTTTGTTGCCAAAAGCATGTCGATTACAGAGCACATCCCGCTCCGTGTGACAAGGGTTAGCATCCGTCCCCAAAAATAAATGAATAATGTTGAGGTCTCATTGAAATGGTTAGAGGTACAGACCCGGGAACAACTTTACTGTTGTTTCAAAGCAGAGCAATTATCTCTGGGCAGGCGGGACGAATTGCTTCCTGCAGACTTTTTTTGAATGCGCCTGGCCAATTATAAAGGCCGTTTCTTCCACTGTCAATCTGTGGGGTAGCCATGACCAACTGGCGGGCCTGAGCCTGGAGCACAGTGTGTGTCTTTTATAGTTTCCTTTTTTCTTTTTTTTTCCACATCTTACCCTGCGTTTTTCTATTTTGCTTTTTTTTTCTCGCTCGTTAGACATTCTAATGTGACTGAGGGGCGCTCCCTCCCCTCTACACATCACGCTCCACGTGATCATAACCAGCTGCTAGTGAGAGAGAGGGAGAGAGAAAGTCGCTGCGACTCTGAACGCATCGCACACATACAAAGTAAAACGGGAGGACCGCAGCTCGTCTCACCCGTGGATTCTATATTACGCAACTGCCGCCGTGCTCAAATCCTGCCCGTGGGATACTCTCGCTTTCATCCTATCACTTTGACAGTTTTTCCCCTTTCTTTTTCTTTGCAATCACCCCCCTTTTTCTTTATCTCACCCATCTTCCCACCCCCTTTCCTCTCATCCCCGAGCATCCTCTCCTGCTCGCAAGTCCTCTGTTTTCCCCCCCCCCTGCCAACTTTTTGTTTCCCACCCAAATCCATCCCACACGACCTTTCTCTATCGCTCCCCAGACAGCTCTCCGGCAGTTCTGTTTTCTGGTTGTCCCCCCCCTTTGGATCGGGCGGAGCACCTTTTTGGCCAGTCTTCTCGGGACACTGCTACATGGGGCGCACGGTCTCGCTCGGAAAATGGTCCGCCGTCGGTGTCTGAACCTGTCGGGATCGGAGCGGTCGGTGCGCGTCTGCGTCTCTTCCCCACCTCGCCCTTGCGGCCGGGGCCAGTGATAGAGAGAGTGTGAGAGAGAGAGATGGGTCGGTCCGCGGCAGCCCAGGCGCCGCTGGAGGACCGCCGGCGGTGGAGCGGGGCGGCGGGGGGCTGGCTCCGGATCACCCTCGTCTCGTTCCTGGCCACTTTACCTGTGGAGCAGCTGCGCGCCTTCCCGTCCTCCCTCAGCGACTGCCAGACGCCAACCGGCTGGAACTGCTCCGGTGAGTCCTTTATTTATTTATTTTTTGCCTTAATTTACTGGCAGAGTTTCAACCTCGCCTATGGCTCTCCGTTTTCCATCCATGCAAACTCATTCCAAGTCATTTAAGAGTCAAAAGTAACCATCTTATACAACTTCCTGCGCTTTGATTTGGTTCTGAAGCGGTCAGATAGCAGATCCATGAGGGCTGTAAAGCTCCAAATTGTTATTTTTTTGCGTGGTTTGTTTGGGAGATGCGTTCTAATCCGTGTCGGGGCTCGGAGTTTGGCAGCGGAGCATCCAGCTCAGAGCGTGTTACCTGGAGGGGGGAGCGGAGAGGTCGATCATTTCGATCCGGGCGCAAAGTGAGAGCTGTAAACATCAGGGATCACTTTAATCAGGGACAGATCATAGAATGTTTTGGAGGAAACGCAACACTTGTCGAGACGAGAAACATAAAGATAACGAATCGGGGAAAGTGAGGAGGGAGAAGAAGAGGCAGGAGTTACAATAAACTGTAATAGCGAGAGCGAATAGCAGTTGGATTTCATAGATGTACTTTTATCTCAGATGAATTGTTCCCCGCTGGTTTCGCCCCGGTCACTTGAAATAAAAACTCGTTTATTGCTCATATGAATGCCACTGAGCTTTGAACTTGTTTTTCATTCTTTTCTCCGCTGTGGAGCCGCGCGTAACGCCTCGCCCTCCATTGTAAACCAGCAGACTGTGCCATCGTATATTTCCCCTGTCGCCCGTCCAAGTCTGAGCCCTTAAAATAGCTCGGAGCCGATCACAACTCACTCCCCGGGCAGAAGTAGTATTGATATTATAGCGCATAACAACCAGACATCAATATGGAGTCACGATGCCATTTGCAGCCCACGAAGAGAATCTCCGTGTGCCGTCATTGCTTTTGCTTTTTTTATTTTTATGGAGATGCTTCTTAATTATAAGCCACCGAGATAATAAGAAAAGTGTGATTTAGTTGTAGGTAGCCGACGAATTGTGCCCACAAAGTGTCCAGTAGAGGATGGGGACTCTATTTGGGTATTATTTAAAGCTTTTGCGAAGGATTTAATTATTACGCATAAAATCAGACTGTTCCATTGCAACTTTTAGGGAATTTGTGGCACAGTTCTAAGTATCTTTTATTTGTGTTTCTTTCCTTGGCTGTAGAATGTGAAGTGATTTCAACTTTGACAATTCTTACGGATTTAGTTCACCCCACCCCTATTCTAAAGAAACAATGACTCAGTCATCCTCAAGTCCTTTACAGCAGATACCCATAGCTGTGATGAATGAGCTCATTTGTCTCGACATATTAGCCGTATTTCCTCGTGATCCTGCCTTGTGTTTGATCATATGTGTCCTAAGAAGCTCTCATCGATAACCGCCGTCCCACTTTATGGCGTGCGTCGTGCTGGAAAGGATGGTTTTGTGACGCTGTCGACGGCGGTGGAGATTCGCGCGTAATGACCGTTAATGCTACACATCCTGCCTTACACACACACACACACACACACACTCGCCTACCCACCCACTTCCTGACACACTCTCACGTCCATTTCGGCGAAGGCTTTTATCCAACACGCTTTAAGGAGGCTTAAGTGCATATGCTGAGGGCAGTGCAGACACACGCGCACACACTCACACTCGTATCACGCACAATTAGAATGAATTGAGCATGCAAGCAAGTGGCATCTGGTTCAGAGAGAAAAAAAAGTAAGAACCTTCTTAATAATTACAATAATAATGAACTGCTGTAATTGCAGAGGTTGTCATTATCCACTTATGTCCAGGTATCATTCTCTTCAACCACCACCCTAATATTTGACACCTTCATCAAGGCGGAAGTGTGTTGAATGGGAAGTGTTTTGATGGGAAGTGTGTGACAGTGCCACTTTGGTGTAGCAAAGACTATAAGCAAGTGTTATCAAGAAAAATATAGAAAACAGAGTTATTTGTAGTGCTTTTTTGCTTTCAGTGAGACTTGCTTAAGTCATGTTTTCCTCTTAGTGAATCTCGATTCATTGGTGCTGACTTAGACTTGAATATGAAATCTGTCGTGCCAATGGGACTTGCATCTGTTTCCTGATGCCAAAGCAGCTTTGCTTGTCTACCTTGATATAGTCAGCCAATCATTTAGGTCCAGGATGCTGTTTTGAGGTCGAGATGCTTAGCGGACTGACAACTCTTCAGTGTGGACGATGGTTAAATGTTATGTGCCTCAAGCCATTTTTGACCATTTTGTTTGGTACACTGCCAGGGGAATATGCTGGGTTATTCACAATTTTTAGTTGGTCGTGCATTTATGTCATGTCGGTTTTTGATGGCTAAGTTCAACGCAGTTACTTCATATTTTGGGTGAAGAGTACATTTTTGGACACTTGAATGCAAGTGATCGTTGTTACATTGCTTGCTATGACAAGCAGTGGCATGAAATGTAAATGTGACGTGATGACATATAAAGTTTGAAAACGTAACACAAAATGGCCTCTTGATTTATTTGGTTATCCATGAATTTGGTTGTGGCACATCTACAAAAATTATAGCTGGAACCTATCCCAGCTGACAAGGGGTGAGAGGCCCAATGCAGGGTCACACAGAGACAACCAAACACACTCCTAAGAGCGATTTGTGTCCACTTAACCTAACGTGCATGTTTTTGAACAGTGGGAGGAAGATGGAATACCCGGTGTGAACCAATGCAGACAGGGGAAAAAACTCCACACGGAAAGGTCCTGGTAATCCGGGAATTTGAACCGGGAACCTTCTTCCTGTGAGCCGATGGTGCCAACTGTCGCACCACCATGCCACCCCATGTAGGATATCTCAAATTTGATAAAACAGGTAATCGAAATTGAACAACGGGTGCTGTTGTTGAATCTTAGTAATTGTTCTTGTTTACACTCTAGAATTGACAGTTTTCCACTTTATATGCCTCTTTCAATAGAAAATGAAGGGACACAATTTAGTGGTTGTTCATGGTTTTGTGTCTCTGTGTGGCCCTTGCAATGGATTGCATTAAACTGAATTTTCCTAGATTATAAAACTTTTCATAAAAGTCTGTGTTACCAGTAGATCTTGTTTATATATTAGTGCAATATGAGAAACAACACAAATCAGAGAACTATAGTTTATGTCAGTTTAGTCTTATTGTAACAGTTGCTCTGTGTGATTGAAAAATACAGTTTAGTTATCCCATGACACGTTGCATGTCTTATGGACACATTTGTGTGTGTTTTTATAAAAAATTCACGGTTGTTGTTTAGCTCCAAGTTTGTGTGATGCTTTGCTAGTAAAAGTGATTGGGAAAAGCGCAGAATTTGAAAAGTCCCCAGTAAATCTCATCAAGCGGAATGGTTCGCCAGGAGTCTAAAGAAAACTGACCATCTGTTTTAAAGATTTGTCCAAGCGCAGATAAGAGCAGTTACCTCACATGCAGGTCATCACCCCGCCGGTGATAGCAGAAAGTGAAATATATGTCAGGACTGTCTGGACGCATTTTATTCCAAAAAAGGACTTGGAATCAATAGAGATATTCTTTTTTTTTTAATCTGAGGAGGTGGAAAGCTTCCCCGAAGAATTTTGTATTCGTCATAATTCAATTTCTTTCAGCGTTAGTCACCACAGCTTCTTCTAACCTGACATAATGCTGTCTGAACTCGCTTAAAGTCAGCCTTTGAAAACCTGTTGCAAAGTTATATAAAAAGGGCCCGCGGCATGAGATAGGTCAAGAGAGAACGTCTCACCGCTGTGGTTGTTCAGCCTTCATTATTAATTTATCCTTTTTAATTATTCATCAGCACCATGCTTAAAGCGTGGAGGGAGGACTCCTCGATCTTCTTAGTGTAGTGAAATTCCAGGTAGGCAGGAGCAGATGCATTTGGCTGACAAGATCTCTCTTTTAGACAAGAAAGTGCTTTGCTTGCCATCTTAATCGTTAGCATATAAACATAACCTATTCAATATTTGATGTTTGGCAGCTTGTTTTCGTTAATTATTCAGCTGACTGTAATCTCCTCCTGGAACAGGAAGTATAGGTTTTCCTGGTGGCTGACAAAGTGCACACAGAGCTGTGCTTAGAACCTGGATCTATCTGCTCCTGTTATTTTTTTGGAAGACAGCATGAAAATGTGTACAACAATCCTAAGGATCACACCGTTTATGAAATATTTCCTTATAGAGTTATTACCTTCCCCTGCACGCCTTTTGTAAATAAGATTATCTGAAAGGGGGTGAAGAGGGGGGGGATACATTTAGATACAGTTAATTTACAGGCAATAGCTTTGGATAAAATATTATCCTGAACATATTTTTTGTAATGGTTGTTTCTCTATGTTATGCTTATATGAAGCATCTTATATCTTTGGATTATACATTAGTAAACAACATACATTGTCTACCATACTAATAAATCTATGTGTTGTCAAGTAGTAAACATTATAAACTAATCATTTACTGCTTTCTGAAAGAGATCTTGAAAACTGAAGCTCAAAGACAGATCTGCACTGTCTGGGATCTATGTTTAAACCTTAAAAATGTTACTACCCCAACCCACTTTCTTTCTGTTTCCAAGAATTGTTCCTTTTTTTTATATTGCAAAACCATTTTTGCCAGCTTCAACGAAACCAGCCTACCGTGAACTTGTTTAATGTAAGTGTCACTTTATGTTAAAGCTAATCTTTTAAACCTATGTGTATGTTTAATTACAGACTCAGCTCAGCTTGGCTTTTTTGATTCGTGATTTTTTAATACTGCTTCTTTACCCTGCACAAATTCAAACAAGTCAGTGAACGTAGTCCATGGTTTTCTCAACCGGTAGAGAATGTACTTCCTTCCAAGTCTTGCTTGTGCACCATCTCAGTACCCTTTATTTCTTATTATAGCAAGAAGCATGAGATACATAACTTGGCTGGTGAGCTAATGCACTAACATTGATATCTTGTTTGATATATGACTGCAGAGAAGACAAGTAAGACTGGAATGATAGCTGAAAATTGATATCAGATTTTATGAAAT